CCGCTGGAGACATCAAGGCAGCTCTGCAGCAGAGCTACGCCCTGACTCTGAGCGCCATACTACTTGAAATAACTCTGTGTTATTTGAGAACTTACAAAGAGCTGGATTTTGAAAACTCTTACCACTGTGTGGATAATGAATTATCAGTCTAAAAATAGCCATTGAGTGTTGGGAAAGAGCTTGGCTGGTTTTGGAGTTATATAATGCACAACAGTGAGACTGAAAGTCATTATTTAAATTGCAGCCAAAGTTCTCGCCTGCCTCTGAGTGAAGCTTACATCTGTCCTGCGGCTTTCAAAATGAGAAGCCAGAGTACGTGAGAGCAGAACGTGGTCAGAACTAGATCCCCACTTGGAGGCCGATGTTCTTGTGTCAGGGTCTAGAGCCGTGGTGGTGAACCCATGGCACATGTGCCGCAGAGGGCTCTTTGTGTCGATTGAAAGCTCTAAAAGGTTCGCCATCCCTGGTCTAGAGGACGTAGGTGGTCAAGCCCCAGCACTGTGGTCCCGAGCTTCAGCGACTAGAGGGGAGGCCGAGATGACTTGGGGCTTTGAGGCTACTCGGCTGATTCTCCTAAAAATGAAGATTCATATTGATCTAACATCTTATTAAAGGTTTAAAAAATTAGAGCCTCTCAAAACCTATCTTTGATCCTCAGAGCTTTCTTTTGAGTCAGTCAAAGGAGGGACACTGAGGAACAGTGCACTGGTGTGGAGCTGGGACCAGCCCGGCTCCCTCCCTCCCTCCGAGCCTCTGTTCCAGCCTGCCTTGGTTGCTTAGCAGCAGCGTGATTCAGGCCAAATGATCAAAGCTTTCCAGCTTTCATTCTGTCCCTCATAGAATGGGGACAGGAGCAGTCATCTGTCCGTAACGATGTGTGAGAAGGAAAGAAGACAGCAGGGAGACTGGTCTGTACTTGTCCAGCTGTTACAGCCTCCCAGGCCTGCCCCGAGTGCCCTGGGGCCGTCAGATGCTCATGCTCATCACACCATATATATTAAAAACGTGCACCATGATTAGCAGAAATGCACATGAATCGGTTGACTGCATGCCCAGTGCTTGTCTATGAGGAAGTGTTTAAGAAAAGTTATCATTTACTTCTGTTTAGTTATTATATCCTGTATCTTTCTGCATTTAGTTATCTTTGTTGTTTTGATTTTGTCTGCAATCTGAATAAATGCATTTCCCAGATTCCTTCACTGCAGTCCCCACTGTCAGCATGCCTTCTCTCAGCACAGACACATGGGATCGATTGAGTGACCGATCAAATGCAGTGCTGCGGGTGGAACCCGGGCTGCTCCGCCTCTTAGCTGCATCCCCAGTGCTTTCTGTTGTTTGGGACAGCATCCCACTAAGTTGCCCAGGCTTGCCTGCAATGGTGACCCTTCTGCCGCAGGCTCCCGAGTAGCTGGGACTTGAGGTGTGCGCACCGTGCCTGGCAATATTGTTTCATAGAGTTCGTGTTTAAACACAACGTCTGTTTATCCCATCACCAGTGACAGTGTCTTTGGCCCCTGGGATAAGCTGGTGTTGGCCAGGTCTGGGCACCATAACGTTACTGTTTTTTATTTTTTTAAATTAATACATCTGTTACACAGAGATACTTTGACACTATGTCCCATTTCTTATCATACTTTTAATCAGTAGTAGGATCCAATAATGATCCTTGCCTGAACCAATTATATAAAAAATAGCGGGTGCCAGGTGGTGCTATTCTAATTTCATCATTCCGTTTAGATTTATCAGCTAGATTCTACCCTAAAGATAAGGCTTTCTCTCTCCCCTATTTATTTATAGCAATATGGACTCAGATGCTGATTTTATTCTGTAGATCAGAACTGAGTGCTGTCATTGTTTACTGTGATGGTAACTTGTCCCAGACCAGCAAAGGGCATCCCTTCATGCCATCTCCTGTGTCCTTTTGACATTTTTTGAGCACTTTGTTATGTTCTGGTGCCACAGATATTTTAGGCTTGTGATCTTGTACTTTCTTCACCTCATCCGATAAATAGACATTGTCCCAAGGAGCTCTGGTCTCTTTTATGAAGAATGATACTTAGAGATAAAAATCAGAGCACTGCATGTGTTAGGGGGATGGCATGGTTTGTACCTAAGTACTCTCAGTGGACAAAAGTCAGGAAAAATTCCACAGAGAGACACACTGGTGTTGTGTCTGTGTCCCCCGTCCCATGAGTTTTCATTGGAGAGTTGCGGCTCCTGGTCACAGAGCTCCCACTCTTTCTCCTCTCCATTTTTCTACCAGTGAGAACCCTGGCTGTCAGTATCCAGCACACTGTTTGCTCCACCCTAGAATACTAAAGCGGTTTGGAATTGCTAACCCATATTGCTGTAGAAAACAAACCCAACTAGAATTCAACGGGTGTTTACAGTTATTTTATCTTCATTCTGAGAGTACATAGTCAAAATAATATGCCAGAAAGTTACTGCAGCTACCAAATTTTAATGGCATAAAGCAATGCAGGCTTATTCTTGTTCACACTGTGTGTGTGAGACAGATGGGGGTTGTGCTCTGCACTGTTCCTACCCAGGCTGACAGAGCAGCTGCCATCACTGTGACAGAGAATGGGAGCCCTGGGGTGCTCTGTGGGAGCACATCCTTCTGCCTCTGCACATCTGTTCTGGGCATTTCCTACAGCTGGAGCCATACAGAAAGTGTCCTTTGTGCTCAGTTTCTCTCAGTAGGTGCCTTTTCAAGGCGTGTCCATGTTGCAGCGCGTACCAATACACTGTTCTTTATGATTCAGTAATGTTCCACTTGACATATTAGCTCGGTGAGCTGAGGTGATTACACAGAGGTTTCCTTAGGTGCTTGGACTCTGCCTTAGCTTTCACTTCCTGCTCTCAGGGAACCTCAAGCACAGCCAGAGGCCCGAGCTTCGGGGCTTCTCTCACTCTTCCTGGGGTGAGTGCACCCCTGGGCGCACACAGGAATGTGTCCAAGTCTTTCCACGGCCACCTTGGTCCCCACTTTTTCCTTTTAAACCTTTTGATTAAGGTGGCATCCACTGCCTGAGACAGGCGGGATGTCAAACAGTGCTCTGGAGCTGCCTTTTAACAGCCATCTCCAAGGGAAGGCTGTCCCCGCTGGGTGACCCCAGGGTCTGGTCAGGTACAGCCTTGCGATTGGGGTCTTGCTGGGGACCACCAGCGAGTTCAGTTACCATGGTTACCTGGGAATGAGGTTTGGAAAGACCTCTGGCTCCTGGTCCTCTCTCCAGGGGCTTCCCCTCTGCTGGCTTTTGATGTGAAGTTGGCTTGTCCCTCAAGGAGCACAGCCAGGAAGCTGGTGCACAAGATATCTGCTCAGTGAATGAGTCAGTCACCTCTGGCCAGGTCAGCTGGGGAAGCTACTCCCAGTCTGGCTGTGGCCCTTGAGTGCTCTTGCTGTTCAGACACCATGTGTCCACGATCTGAGCACAGATTGACCCATTAAATGTTGCAGAGTGGCCGCGCAGAGCTGTACTACCCACTTCCTGGATCAGGCAGCCACACACAGGGGAAGTGACCCGGGGCAGATGCTGCTGATGGATGGAAAAGCTTGATGTACGGAGCAGAGAGAACAGAGCAGGATGGAGAGGAGATGGGGCAGGGTCAGACCACTCTGTGTCAGAGAGTTTGGATTTTTATCTTGAGAACAGTGAATTGGGCCGGGGATTTAGCCCAGTTGTTCTGCTGCCTGCCTTGAAAACACAAGGTCCTGAGTTTGATCCCCGGTACCAAAAAAAAGAAAAAAGAAAGAAAGAAAAAAGAACAGTGAGGCAGACACACCCATGTTTATAACAACACAATTCATAATAGCTACATCTTGGAAGCGGCCTATTATGTCCATGAACAGTTGAATGGATAAGGAAAGTGTGGTATTTACACACCATGGAGCACTACTCTGCCATAAAGAAAGAAAAACTTGAGTCATTTGTAGGAAAGTGGATGCACCTTGAGACCATATTGTTAAGTGAAATAAATCAGACACACAAGCTTCAGTATCGTATGGTTTCTTCCGTATGAGAAATCCAAAATATAAATAAAGGGCCAAATCAAAGACAGATAACAGGAAGTAGGGAGAGAGATCTTTTGCAAATGGGAGTGGGACAAAGACAGAGGAAGGGAAGGAGCTGTAAAAAGAATGAAGGTACGTTATGTCCGCGTACCAAGCCCACAGGGAATGTGATTATTATGAACTGCAAAGGTGTAGTAATAAAAAATAAGAAATAAAAAGAACAGTGGGATACTTCCAAAGAGTCTGACTCTAGGACAGAAGTAGTGTGAGTTCGATGGTCTTGACTATGGGCACAGGGAGGCCAGCTGGGGCCATGGTCATCAGCCACGTGTGAGGTTGCGGCTTACCTGGGAGGTTCACAGCAGGGACGGTGGGAAGTTCACAGACTGAGGTCAGCTCCCAGACAGAGCCTGGAGAGTCCCCAGGGGTCATCAGAGGAGGAGAGAGACACACGCGTGTGTTTGGAAGGAAGTGGGGGGCGAGGGGCTCCCGTGGCAGCCCAGGTGTTTGGAGGCGTGTCATGGCCATTGTACTCGCTCTCCTCTGCTCTTTGTGCTGTTGTCTTTCCTGATTTGGAACCAAAAGGAAGTCTGTGGTTACTGGGTTATTAAGCCTGGAAAACTAGGAAGTTACTTCCCAAATGAACCTTAACCCAAGACCTGGAAAACACGGAAAGGCACGCTTGTGCTAGCAGGAAAGGTGTCTGTGCGATGGCCAGAAGTGGGGTGGGAGAGGAGAGGCAGGTGGAGGCCAGGGAGCTGCTCCGCCCCTGGGGACCAGCAAGAGGGTCCAGCTGTCAGGCTTGATGATCTCCGCCTGGCGGAGCCCCATCCTGCTGCCCGAATCTCCCGTTTTGTGTGGGCCTCCAGGTGACTGCTGGGTCACAGAAGGAGGCCCGGGGCAGCCGGTCCATCCTCCACGCCCCTACGTGCCTCACTTGGCCTGGGAGTGTGCTGACCTCTGCCCTTTCTCTCCTGCTCAGGACACTGAAGTTTTGAACACTGCCATTCTCACCGGAAAGCCCGTGTCCGTCCCTGTCAGGGTCGTCGGGGTCCAAGAGGACGGCTCTGTGGTGCACGTGTCGGAGTCTGTGGAGTGCAGGTCTGCGGACGAGGACGTAGTGAAGGTAAGAGGAGGCCTTCTCTGTGGATCTGTGATGCCTTTGGTCACTCCTGCTTTTGTCTCCAGCATCTTGTTCAGTCTGAGCATCCTGTGCTCCTGTGCTCCTGTGCTCCTGAGGGCGGGAGACCAGAATGATCTCACCAGGATGGTGAGAGGTGAGAGCCGAGCTCACCTGGCTAGCAGAGGAGCTGCGGCAGGGTGGGAAGGGCAGCCTGGCCCTCGGTCTCCGGGACATTCATTCCCGGCCTCTCTTACTCTGTCCCCTCCTCTCCTTCCTACCCTCCTTTCTCTCCATTACCTTACAGGATAGTCCCCTCCCCTCTTCTCCTCTCCCCTCCCCTCTTCTCCTCTCCCCTCCCCTCTCTTTTCCTTTCTGAGGGTAAAAGGAATTATTAGGCAGAATTTTAAAAGTTCTCAAAGAGGGGCCGGGGATTTAGCTCAGTGGTTTCCCTGCCTGCTGTGCAAGCGCAAGGTCCCGAGTTCCATCCCCGGTACCAAAAACAACAACAACAAAAAGAAAGTGTGGGTTTTCTCAAAGAAAAAGTGTGGGTCTCAAAAAGGAAAGCGATGCATTATAGTCTGGAGCTGAGAATATTTATGCATGTTTGGTGAGTGGAAATGTGTGGAATCTGTGACTCTGTAGAAAGCCTGGTCTTGGTTTATAGAAAAGCAATGGCCCACCTGTAGGGAATAGCTCATTTTGCAGGTGAAAGGATGGCCCATTTAAAGGAGAAAGGTAGTGGGTTTAATTAGGGACTTGCTGCACATGAATGTCTCTAAGAAATTTCCCCGTGACTCCGAGATGAATGGAGTTATCCACAGAGCCATGTGGTGCCCTCAGTGTCCTCCCTTCTGGGGGGCTCCCCTGGAGCCGCACAGACAGTCCCCGAGTGTCAGGCCCGAGCCCCCCGCTCAGTCTCCCCCACTCCTGCTCGTCTCCTGTGCAGAGGCAGAGGGATGTTTGTCACTTCATGTCATACTTGTGCTGCTGTTTCTCCGATCTTAGATTCCAGAGGAAAGTCAGATATTTTTTGTACTTTGATATAAAAAAAGGCAACCAATGATGTACTGCACTCGGTCATCTGATGGAGAATTCTCTATCTTTATAAACCATTAAACTCACTGGGAAAATGGATTGTGTTCTGCCAGAGAATGACCAGGGGCTGAGGGTTCTTGAAATCAAATCACAAGTGAAGAGATGGAAGGAGGTGGGAGTGTTGCGGCTGGTGGTGCCGAGAGGCGCCGCAGTGGTGCTTTTTATGACTCTCAAGGGCCACTGTGTGGAGGATGGAGTAGACGCGTGCTTTTTGTGTTCCAAAAGTGAAGTTAAAAGCGACCGTTTTTAGTTCAGTGGGAAGGAAAAGACGACAGGGATGGTGAGCTCTTTGATTAAGTGCTCGGAGAGGCGACATTGGGTGTGAATCATGACTCCACCTCCCACTATGGGATGCAGGTCAGCTGCTCACGCTCTGAGCCAGATTCCTGGTCTGTAAATGACGCAGTAGGAAGGGGCCTTCAGCAGAGGCTGGTTCCTGTGCCCTTGCATAAGAGAACTAGAAATAATCAAGCTAATCCTAAAAGGCCTGTAGAGAGGACCTGGGCATTTAGACGTTCAAAATACAGTTAATTAAAAAAATGTTTTCCTTGCATGTGGGGAATGGGAAAATTTCCTGGAACAGAAAAGAACACGGTTTTAGTTTTAAAGTAAATATTAGGAGAAGTCTTGAGAAGCTAGATTTGGGGGTAGCTGCCTTGTATCCTTCTCTTTTATGTCTTCTGGTGGAAGTCTGGTCAGGTGGCAGTCCAGTTACGCTAAACGCGTAGAATTGAATTGTTTGTTAAGTGTGTGTGTGTGATAAAATCCAGCATGGGGTTACTAAATAAAAGTGTGTAGCTAAAGGAAGTCACCTAGTGCTTGACCTGGGACGTGCTGGTGTTAAGTTGATATATCTGCATGTTTATATCATTATTCACAGGCATCTCCATATTCACTCTGTAGACCATAGCCTATCTGGATTTTAAGGTTGACAGTGTCTACGACTATGTGTTTCCTGACTTCTTTCCTCCTGGCCCTAAGCAGAGTGTCTGGAGCCCAGTAAATATCTGGTGAATATGCAAATGAACGAATGAATAAATGCTGCAGATATCCAGAGATGGGAGTGGATACTCCGCATGAGCACCTGACTCACTATTATCAGATCACCTCTGAGTTTTCAGGTGCTGGGAGTCTTCAGGGAGAGGTGGAAGATCCTCTGTATCACAGGGACTTGGCCTTGGGTGGGGACGTGGGCCTGATCCTTGGACCGCGCCACCTTCTGTTCTCACTGGATGTTTTATTCCCTGTGTTAGTTACTTTTCTCTCATTGCTGAGACAAAATACCTGACACCCAAAGTTAGAAGGGAAGACTCACAGTTCATAGAGGTTTCAGTCCATAGTCAGCTGGCTCTGAGCTGGGATGGCAGACAGGCCTCGGAGAGGAGAAACAACATGGCGTGCACAGGGCAGCAAAGGCAACAAGAGACCGTAACAGCGTCTCTCTGCCCCTTTTATCCCGTCCAGACCACCAGGCGTAGAGCGGCGTCAAACCACTCACTCACATATCATGGTTGAGTAATCACACACCCTTAATCCCAGCATCACACGCTCCAGGTTCAGCCACCTCTGAGCGAATGAGGCCTTGGGGGATATCCAGACCCAAACCGTAACACTCCCCAAACACTTATGGGTCCCCTTCTTGTGGAGGGCAGTGTGTAAGGAGCTTTGGGAGCTGCGCAGGTGGAATGCGTGTGAAATCTGTCCTTGAGAGGTTTCCACAGCTGACATGTATTAAAAGGTGACACTGGCTGAACGTTTGTTAGGTGCCAGGTGCCGTTATAACCAGGGCCTGAGCGGTATCGACCCATTTAAGGCAGCTGATTCCGCTGCTTCAGGCTTGTAAAGGGAGCTGGCAGGGAGAAGGGCAGAGCCGGACTCTCGGAGGTCACGTAGGGCACTGTGGAATGTGTGTAGGGGACGCACACCGTGGGAATCAATCCATACTGGGCTTTCTGTGAATTTGCCAAAGACTTGTTTTCATCCTCATCACCTGGAAGTCATGTGTATTAGTCTCTTTTGGCTGCTGTAACAAATGACTACAAACCTAGCAGCTTAAAACGCTATTCATTACAGTTCTGGAGGTGAGAAATCTAAGCAGTGGGCAGGACGGTGGCCCTTCTGGGGGCTCTGGGGGCGACTCTGCTCTTTGCCTTTTCCAGCTTCTGCCGCCGCCTGTGCTGCTGGGCTCCTCCTGTCCTTCACCGCCAGAGCCTGCAGTGTCTGGTCTTCATTTCTCTCCCTTTCCGACCTTGATTCGGTCATCATGGCCGCTTCTCTGATTCTGGCCCTGCTGCCCCCGTTCTGAAGGCCCCTTTTGACCATATGGGCCCACGCAGGTAATCTACCTCGGAGTCCTCGGTGACACCAGGAACCCTTCCCCTCCTTTGCCACACCTGCTATTTTCTAGAGCTCTGGATCAAGTTACCACAATGGAAGGTAACTGAAAGCAATAGAAATGTTTTCCTTCGAAGTCCTGGAGCCCACACGTCTGGAATAAAGTTTTGGTGAGGGCCCCATGCCCCCCAGAGGCTCCAGGGAAGGACCCTGCCCTGCTCTTCCAGCCCCAGGTGGGTCCTAGCCCCTGGCTTTGCTGTGCCCCTCTAACCTCTGCCTCCCGTCCTGGTCTCACCCATGTCTCCCTGTGACTTTCCTGTCTCACAAGGACACTTGTCCCTGGATTTGGGGGCCACCCTCATTCAGGATGGTCTTCTCGAGATCCTTAAAGTTACATCTAGACATCTAGACATGATCACATGCAAAGGTCCTGGCTGGGGTTAGGCCCTGGGCACACCTCTTGGGGGCCACAGCTCGACCACTGTGCCACAGAAGGCAGGGTACACATGGACTCTGGGATCGGATGGAGTTGGACTCCTTGCGGAGGGGTCCTTAGGCTGTCCACCACAGGGTGCGTTTCATTTTTCTCTGTTAAATGTCTTTAAAGATCTTCAGAGGAAGGAAGAAAAATGCAATTTCCATATTGTAATTATGATTTAATCTTTGAGTATCTGTCTTTCGAAGTGACAGCTTCATGTTTTTGTGCATTTGCAGTTGTATTGTGTGTCAGCGAATCGTGGCTTCCAGAACCACAGAGGCCAGTCCTGCATGCTCGGCAGGGGATGGACTCTCACGCCAGCAGAGGGGTGAATGTAAACTCATGCAGATCTGGACGGTAGTGTCTTCCCACTTAGGGTCGTAATAATTAAGTTTCCAGCCTTCCAGGATCAGCTGGACTCAAGATAATGAGGACGCTAAAGGGCGAGTGCAAGGGCATTAGCACTTTAAAGCCCACCCCAGGGAAGGATCTTGATCTTGTTTCCAAGTTGTCATGGGAGGGGTAAGGCAGTGGATGTCAGGAAAGATTCAGATTTTCCCCTGGTTGCTGGGCAGTGCATTGAGAGCTGGTCCCTGGAGAAAGCCTAGTGGGAAACCTTAGGGAATCTGCATTTCCAGGTTAATACGCAGCACTCACAGGAGGCTGTGCACTCGGCCTGCCGAAGGGCGAGGGGAGGGTGGGCCTCAGAGAGGGACACTTTGGCTGATGTCGCCCAGCAGGTATCGGCTTTGGCAGAGCTAAGTCGAATTCCTGCATTGGCGAGCCAAGGTTGCTGGTGTGTTGTTGCAAGTAATAGAAACCCAAAGCCAACGGCCTCTGACTAATGCTGATGTTACTTGGAAGAACACAGAAAAATTCAAGAGATTTAAAGCTCTTTCTTTCTCCTCTAACAATATTTCACAAAAATTCCTGCAAAACCCCGCTGTTGCGCTATTTCTGGGCATGAATTTCCTTCCTTCACCCATTGCCAGGAGCCGTGCAGCTAAGAAGAAGTTGTCAGGCAGTTTGGATGCTATTGCCTAATTCTGTCCTTTTTTATGCTGGTAATTTGGACTTTTATTGTCCCATTCTAATT